GGATCAGGGTGCTGGCCGCCCTCGAGGAAATGTGCAGCAGGATATCGAGTGACGCCCGCCTGTGATTTCTGCCCGAACCCCAACGCCACACTAGGGCACCAGCTGTACCAGTGCCCACTTTTAACCCAGCCCCCAGAGGATCTTGATGTAGAGCCCCTTCCCGATGACATTATAGAGCACAGAGAAACATTGAGGGGCTCGGGGTACTGTGGGCTACAGGCCGACTGAGACATTCTGGAGCTTGTGCATGGGCCCCCTTTTTATTCCTTCGGTGTGCCAGGGATTCCCGAGGCTCGCACGGTTCACTGGGGTGCAACGACGGGGCCCTGGGGCAGGCGCATCTATACCGACGGGTTCAGGGCTCGCGAACGCAAGCCCAGAACTTCGACGGTGTGGATGGGCTGCAGTCGAGGTTGACCAGTGGGGCGTGCCCCACAGGGCCCTCGACGGGCCCTTGCATGGGCGCCAGACGGTGCCCCGCGCTGAGAGGTATGCGGCGCTGCGTGCGATGGAAGTTGCACCCCAAGGGGCCGACGTGGTCACTGACCACCTCCAGCTCGTTCACGAAGGGTGCTCATGGGATCCCGATCTGGCGGCTGCCCGAAATGTGCATGCAGATATATGGCGCAAGATATTCGAGCTTCAAGGCGAAGGCCTACAGAGGCCAAGTTTCCGCTGGGTCCCAGCGCACCGAGGGCCGGAGGACATTTTTGTGCACGAGCTCAGACATCCAAGATTACCTTGGAAATGTATGGGCCGATTTCTTCGCCAGGCTAGGGTCTTGCATGCGCCAAGTTCCAGATGTTTATGTCAAGGCCGAGAGGGCCCATATTAAAAAAGCATCAGCTCACCTGGGGTTTTCTAGCACGTGCCATCCAGATAATTAGCATTGCGGGAGAACAGGTTGAAGTCCCGCAACCTCCCCCCAGGCAGGCCCCTAGCACGGCGCCGAAGCTTTCGCTCTCGCAGCATGACCTTTGTCATGTTGAAGCTCGTGGCGCATGGAGATGCAGGCGCTGCAACAAGGCAGCGACCACCGACCAGACTCTCAAGGGTCTGCGAACGGGGGGAAGTCGTGAATGCAGGCCCACAGCCATTCAGCAATGGCAGGCCAACATGTTTTTTAACAAGATAGCAGAGCAAGGCCTGGTCGTCGGATCTGACTCGACGGCCGCAGTTGGGCCAGCCCTGGAGCTTGCCGACATCATCCTGCGGCCCCTGCCTGGGGCCTCCTCCTTCGAGCCCCCTGTGGACCTGGGGCCTACCTCTTCCTCTTCCTGGCCCAGGGGCCCCTCTGGGTCGGACGCAGAAGACCTCAAAGTTTTTACCGACCTGCAGCGCCGACCTGTGCGCAACGGTAGAATAAGAATCTGCCTCGACTGCGCGTGCTTTTTGGTGCTCCCTGATGGCTGTTGTCGGGGATGACGACGGACGTGCCGAGGTGTCTCGCAGGTGCAGACGACGCGCATTGGTCACCTCAGAAAGCTTGCTCGTGCTGAGAGTGGCCGACATCCAGGCACTGGTGTCCAGCTCGAGAGCATGCCCGAGTCTCCTGACCGTGCAAGCGCCACCGCCCAGTGCTTTTCTGTTCCTGCTGCTGCGGCAGCCTCGAGCATCGTTGTGGGTTGTGGTGCGGGGGAGGGAGACTCGGGCTCGTCTGACTAATATTCTAGGGGCCGCGAACCCTCGCGGCCCCACTTCCACTGCCAGGCAATTTTATTTAATCGCTTCGCTCATTCCGCCGGCCCTGGAGCGCTATTTGGGGCCTCTTGGGGCCGTTTTGGGGGCTTCTTGGGGGCTTCTTGGGCGCGTCTTGGGGCTCCTTGGCGGCGCATTGGGCTCCCCGGGGGCATCTTGGGGGGCTCTTCGGGGCCCCTTGGGGCGGGGGGGGGGGGAGTTGTGTGTATTTATTTGTGTGTCCGCAGAACCGCAGCGTGCCGCGTCTTGCTTGTCTTGTTTCTGTCATCGTCGTCGTCGTCGTCGTGGGGGGTGCGATGGGAAGCATCGCGCTCTGGGCGGCGTGCGGAAGCCATTGTGTGAGAGGGCGCGGTGGTGAGAAAAACAGCTCACCCCACCCGGCTTTCCGGGCTTTCCGAGGGCTTCTTCGCGGCACTTGTGAACGCTCCTGGACAGTGTTTTTTGGGCAGATTCTTGGCGCTTGTCGCAAGTCTGTAGGGGCCCCGTTGGGAGTCTACCGAAAGGAGAGCACATTGTAGCATCGCTTGCACTTGTTTGCGTGCTCGGGGGGGCATTTGGGGGGCCTCCTGGGGCCGCTTGGGGGACTCTTGGGGGCGTCCTGAGGGCCTCGTGGGGGCCTCTAGGGGCCTCTTAGGGGCCTCCTGGGGCTTCGTGGGGCGTCTTAGACCCGAGGGCTCGACATGTTGTTTCGTGTTCCCTCTCTGGGGCCCCTTTGGGGGCGTTATTGGGGCCCTCTTGGACCGTCTTTGAGGCTTCTTGGGCCGTCTTCGAGCCCTCTTGGGCCATCTTGGGGCCCTCTTGGGGGCCTCTTGGGCCTTCTTGGGGCGATCTTGGGGGCCTCTTGGGCCGTCTTGGGGCGTGGGGAAGCCGAGAAGGTGGAAACTCCAAAATCATTCAAAAACCGAAGGAAAAACAATGAATGTTGCCTCCTGGGGCCCTCTTGGAAGTGCTCTTGGAGGCCTCTTGGGGCGTCTGGGGGCTATCTTGGGCGTCTTGGAGCGATCTTGTGGCATGTCGGACCCCTCGAGTGCCATCTTGGGGGCCTCTTGGGGGCCTCTTGGCCTTTCTTGGGGCTCTCGAGGACGTCTCGGAGCCCTGTTGGTGCGCTCATGGAGCGCTCTGGTGGAGTCGCCCGGGGATCAGCCGGGACCCGCCCGGGGCGCTTTTCGCCCGGGGGCCCCCAGGGGGCGCCCCGCGCGCGCGAATTCGAGAATTGTTAACCAGTTACCGGAGATCTTAGCACGCCTCTGGCCCGTTGGGCCGGCAAATTTTGCCCCCGTCGGCCTGTGCCGCAATGTAGCAGCCGTCCTCCGCGGTGCCTTGCTTGCAGGCGCCAGCCCTTCGGAGCACGGCCAGGCGCCCTGTCGGTCGCCGTATTCTAGCAGGAGGGTTGGCATCTCTGCCCACCCTCCCGCGATCCTTCCATCCAAAGCTGCAGCTATCGAATCGACTGCTGCCGCTGCACCGCTTCCCGCTTCCCTCCTTGCAGACAATGTTATACGCTTCGCGTGTCCTCACATCCGGCGACCAGTGTCGTGCTGTATTGCTTGCGCGGTCGAATTGCACTGAACGTGCCTGTGGCCTCTTCTGGTCGCGAGCGGTCTACTGTGGTCCACCACGGCGTGGTGCCACGTGCGCCGCTCTGGCCGTGTCAGAGTTGTTTGAGACGAGACGTGATCCAATATGTTTGTGGACATATGGGTGTTCAAAGTCGACAATTGGAAGGAGTGCGGCTACTCAGGCGGCTCTTAAATATCATATCGTATGATTGTGTATCATTCCGTGATCTTTCACCTTATCAGTTTCCCGTTTTGCCTCCTCATTGTTGTTTTCTCTTCTATGCCACTTGTGCGCCCGCAGCTAGCGGGTTGGGCAGCGTTGCGAGCACAGGTGTGGTTAATGTCATGATCTGACAGGCTCTGGCCTTTTCTTGTTTTGGCCTGGTCGGTTCGTGAGTGGCGCGGTCTGGTTTGGTCAGCCCTTGTAGTCTGGTTTGGTCGATAAGGATCTCACTGCTGCGCCTTCCCTGAGAGGCTCTCCCCAGCCTCATGATGCTCTCGTATTCAGTCTTCTTCAGTCTTCGGGTCCTGACGGGGATGTGGAGTCAGCATTGGAGTCGCATCGCGGGAGCATCGTGGGGGATTATTTGGAGTCGCCAGATACCTTAGAGTCGGCATATTACGCCGTCTTGGGGCCTTTGGGAGGTCAAGTCCCTCTTTGGGGGCGGCATCGTTGTGACGTTGTCGAAGAGGCATCCTAGACGTTCCTTGACGCCTGCAGGAGGCGTCTTGGGGGCCTTTTGGATTGTGTCGGGAAGCTAGTGTAAGCGCCGCGTTTTGGGGTGTCTCCATGGCCGTCTTGGAAGCCTCTTGGGAAGCATGATAAGAAGTCGAAGCTAGCGAGGGGGCGTAAAGGAACCCTTGCATTACGTTGTACGTTGCTGGTATTGTTTGCACGTCGACTTCATCGTGGCACCTGAGATGAAACGGGAGGCCTTGGCACCCAGATGTCCGCGGAAATTGGCACAAAGGGGAGGGGGGCGGATTGCAAGGGATAGAGAAGTTCGGGGAGGCGACTACATTCTTCCAGGAACCGACTCCTGGCCGCTGGCCGCCCAGAAAGCTGGTCGGGGGTGCCAGGGGGCGGCACCTGCGAACTGTAGGGAGAGTGGCCGCGGCGCCTTTTCTTCGGGCCTCATTGGGGAAGCGTGATGCGCTGGTGTGCCTCGGGAGTCGACACCAAGCATCACGATCCCGCGGCTCGAACCACAGCGTTTCAGCATGGAGGGTCTTGTGGGTTCTTGGTGCCGATGCCGATGTTCTGCCTTGCCGTGCGAGCCCGAGAGGGCGCCTCGGACGGCTTCCGCTGTTTTTGTTGAGGGGGAAACGGGAGGAGCCGAGAGCCGAGAGGAGCTGGGCGGGCTGCAGCCAACGAGTGGAGGGTGGGCAGCGTATCGCCCCGGTCTCGCCCCGCCGTCCGTGGTCGAGTCGGACCGTTCGCCCCCATCGGCGCCTCCGCGCCCTCCCCCGTCAGGTCACCTTCCGTCGTTCCTGTCTGCGACCATTCGGGCGCCGAGGCGGATGAGGAGAGGCAACAGCTGGAGGAGGAGGAGGAGGAGGAGGAGGAGGAGGAGGAGGTCGGGCGATGGACGGTGGGGAGGGGGATCGAGAGCTGCAGGAAAGGGGCCCGCCCTACAGGGACCCAACAGGGGCCCCCCCTGCGGCCCCGCAGGTGCACGAAAGGTGTACCTCCCGTCCCCCCCCTCCTTGCCCCTCTGCGAGAGTGGGTGTGGGCGCCTTCAGGTGGCCGCTGACATCCGGCCTCTTCGCCCGCCCGATGAATGGTGCCGACCTCTCCTGTCGCCCTGTGACCTCTCTCTCTCTCTCTCGCTCTTTCTCTCGGATCTGCGCGGGATTGGGGCGAGAGCGGACCAGGTCTGGCTGGGCAAGACTCCTCTCTCCTCGTTGTTTGTTCCCAGTGCCCCTCCTCCTCTTCCACTCGCAGACGATTCCTCGCCCCCAATCCCCGAATTCTCCCCAACATGCTGTCGTTCGGGAACGAAGGGGAACTCGGGCGAGGATGGACGCCCTCCCCATCGCATATTTCCGAGTTGGGCGTTGGGCTCCCCAGGACTTGGTCGTTCCAAAGTCACACCACGTCGGGGACTGGGATCGCCGTACCTCTTGTTGTTCACCTTCCTTTCTCGTGCACTGCACGTCCGACTGCAGGCTCCGCGCACGGGCACAGAAAGAAAGCACCCAGCCCTGTCTTCGGAGGCACGGTCCCAACCCGAGCATTGCCGACTGCCTTTGGCATCGCTCCTGGCCGGGCGGAGGCGCACGCCCTGTGGACGGTGGGGGACGAGGAGGAGGAGCAGCAGACGCAGCACGGGCTGGGGCAGGGCGACGGAGGCGGGGGAGCAGAAACGGGAGGGGGGCCGGGGTTTGTGGTGCTGCTCCAACCTACTTTAGCCTTGATCGCTGGAAAGAATTTCGAGCACCAAAAAAATACCGAAACTCGAGGGTTGCCACGCGTCGGGCCCTGGGAGACACCAATCCGACACTGTTTCGACACTCTTTCGACACTTTTCCGGGTGCTCGAGACTATTTCTGGGATGTGGTCCTTAAGTAGGATGGGAGCAACATAAGCCAGGGTGCGGATGGGGGAGCGGGGGAAGCGCGAGGGCGAGGAGGCGGAGGAGGAGCACCGGCTTCCCCGAAGTCGGGGCGATCGGAGTGGCTGCGGGAAGAATGGGTGCAAAGACCGGCAGCAGCTCCCGCTCGTCTTGAACAGGGCTCAATATCGTAGTCGCCGCGGACGTTGTCCACTTGAGACAGAAGGCCGCTTGCCCAACGGCGGCCGCTGTTGGTTATGGACAACATTTGTTTTTGGGCATCGTACCCTTTTTGTTCACACCCACTTCGGGCATCCAAACGAAAGGCTCCTACTGCTGCAGTCCCTAGGATAACCACCGCGGGCACGACAAGGATCACGACGGCGAGCAGCGTCACGACACCGGATGATAACGCTTCGAACACGGAAACGTTAGAAGATGGTAGCGTAGAGTTCGAGAAACCAACAGTTGCGCGGATTTCTAGTGTCGGCGGTCCGCGCGGATTTCTAGTGTCGGCGCTGGACACACAAACACACACCTGGCGGCGCCTCCGGCGCCGCCCCGAGGGAAATCCAGCTCCGACGATAACACCGCGCGGATTTCCGAAAGGGTAGCTATGCTTATGTTGTTATTCGGCGTTCCGAAGAACATGCGTGCAGAGCCCAAGACGAAACCTGCATCACACTGCAGGAAAGTGAACGACTGGGCCCAGGCCGAAGATGCCGACACGCGCCGCTCGCGCGGCGTGGCACTGGCGTCAGGCGAGTGCCCGCGAAGCCCAGACACAGCCGTCGGGTGTTCGGGAGCGCGCACGGGCTCGCCGGGTGCCGCCGTCCCCCCCCCGGGCCCCCCCGCCTCTTCACAGCCCGCAGCCGCACCGACGGGGGTAGCCACCGCCGCAACGGGGAGCGCTCTCTTTCAGCCGACTGATCTGCACCCGAGACGGCAGGAGGCGCACCTTTGCCGTCGCTCCGTCGCAAAATTTGGAGGACCAGCCGCTGGAGCGACTACCCCCCCGGGAGACCGCCAGCGCGAGACAGGTCTCGAATCATGCCTGCGGAGATGGTTCGCCTCGTCTTGCTGCCCGTGGTGGAAGATGGCCTCGATTCGCTCTCCCTGGCCTCCGCCGCGACGGGCGCAACCAGGGGACAGTCGACATATAGTCCTCGGCCACACAAGCATCCTGAGTGGACTCCTGAACGCCAGGGGACTGGACCGAGGTCTGGAAATCTACAGCTTCCTCCACCTTGTCCACAAGAACCGCCGCCCAGGCGCAACCCAGCCTGCAGGTGATTCGGGTGAGCCGCTGTCCAGCACGTTCTGGGCCGCCCCGGGAGCGGCGTCGGGCCCAGCACATATCAGCCCGCAAGCGAGGCCCATGCTGCGCCTGCGAAATTCATCCGGCGCTGGAGACTGCAACGTGTCTCTTGCCTCCCTCGGGGAGTCTCACTCGTTCTCCCGGCCCCTCCGCATCCTTCTCTCCGTTCTCTTCCCCCTCCCCCGTCCTGCTGATGTGTCGCCATTTCGCCCCCTCGTCCTTCTCCCCATCCTCCTCCTGGGACCCCTCGAGCAACTCCTCCTCCCTCATCCCGCTCTCGCGCGCGGTGTCGTCCCAGTGTCGGAGTGAGGGGCTTCCTCTCGCGCGAACCCTCTTCAAGCTGAGCACGTGTTGGCGTTGATCACCTCCTCCTCCTCCTCCTTCCTTTTCTTCGGGCCAGTGGCCCCAGGCCCTGTCTCCCCCGTCCTGCCCGACGGGGGGAGCCCCCTCCCGCCCCCCACCGGGAGGGAGCTTTCGAGCCAGGACCTCCCAGGGAGCCTTCCAGCCAGGGGCCTCCAGGGAGCCTCCCTGACGGCCCTTTGGAAGCCTCCCGCCCGTGAAGGCGGCCAGGTGAGGCCATCAGAGGCGTGTTTCCTCTTCGGTCTGGGTCAGGGGCTGCGGCTCGCGGGCCGGAAGGGTTTTAAGACGACGGCAGGCTCCTGGTAACTTCCTGGGGGCCCGCACCGGGCCGCGGGACCGTCCGCTCCCTTGGAAGCCTTCCGGCCAGGGATGTTCCCAGGAAGCTTCCCGGGGCCTGCTGCGGCTTTGGTGAACCCGGGGCCCCACTGCAGGGGCCCGCAGCGTCTGTGCGAAGGGCTCACAGGAACTCTCGGGCCTCGAGATGCTCTCCGTCCTCCCCTTCCTCCCCCTCCTCCCCTCCTCCCTCCTCCCCTTCAGTCCTCCCCCTCTTCTCTTGCGCGGCGTCCTCCCTTCCTCCCCCTCCTCCCCCTGTTCTCCAGCGACCTCTTCTGCCGTCCCTCTTCCCCCTCCTCCCCCTCCTGAGGGGTCACAGTCGGACCGAGCCATAAGATCGAGGTCGGTTTGGGTTCCATGTTTCTGGCCGGCGGAGGGTTTCATGTGCTTGATGGATCCTCCTCTGCCCTAGGTCCGACCGCACCCGGCGGGGACTGGCCCAGAGAGGGGGCCGCAGCGCCGTGGGGGGGGGGAGAGGCGGCTGGGCCCGGCGGAGGGGGGGGGGGGTCCGAGGCCTCGAGAGGGCCACGGGGTGGGGGACAGCTGGTGGGAAGGGGGGAGGCGCCGGGGCCCGTTGCCGTGGTTGGCGCAGGGAGCTCGGGGGTTCGTAGAGGGTGGTTGTACCAAGGTTGGGTTCGGGAACGAGCCCAGCTGGATGCTCACATGTCCTTCTTCCAGGAGCCACGTGTATGGAGCGAGTTTCCTCCCGACCCCACCTCTGCCCCGACCCCCCCTTTACGTCCCCCCGAGGAGCGCAGGGGCGTGTGTTTTTTGTTGTCGCTGCTGTGTAGCACTGCGCATGAGGGCCTCGTGGGGGCGCAGGCTCGGGGTCGCGCAGAAGCGCACTGTTCAATGCAAGCCGCGTCTGCCGCGGGTTCTTGTCTTGATTAGCGAACTTCGCACCCCAGGACAGCCACCAGAACTCCTGATTACCCACGTGTGCTGGGATGGGTTATCATTCCTTCTCTGAAGGATGAATGGTGGAGTGTGGAGCCCCCCCTTCTGCTCATCTCTTTTCTGTTGCGAAGGCTTTACGGCCGGTGCCGCCGACTCTGAAGGGGGACGACGAAGATGACGACGGCGACGACGACGACGACGCTCGCGAGCCCCTCTGGGGACCCTTGTGGGCCCTGTTGGCCTTGGCCCCCCCCCCCGCCCGGGACCCTCCCCCAGATCGCCCCCAGAGATCCCCTCCCGGTACCGCCCCCCCCCCGGCGGGGAAGACATAAAGGGCTTCCTCTTCGACCAGATTGGTGTTCCCACCCTCTTGCGGCTCTGTGGGGCTCTCTTGGGGGCCGTCTTGGTCGGAGAGTGGGGTGGGTCACGACTCCCAGGACACCCCCCAGCGGGGGCGGGGGAGGGCGCGATCCTCGGGGAAGGGATCAAAGGGAAGAGGCTCCCATTCGAATCAATTACGACGTCGTTTGTTTTCCGTCGGGCTGTGTCGTTTGAGGAGAAGGGTCCAAGGAAAGGGGGGGAGCGGCGACGTCGACGACGACCACTAAAACGGAAAAACGTCTCACGCACGCCGACAGGGTTGTCCGATTTCGGATGGTAGCCTCATTGTTTGTGTGCCATGCTGGTGCATCCCAAAACCTTCATCCGAAGAGAGCCAACCTCACGATTGAGGTTGGGCCGCGGAGCCGCATATAATTTTTCAGATTCGGGCTTATACGAATTATCCTGGCGAAGGACCCAAACATATGCAAGAGTGAGTACCGCAAAGCAGGTGAGACGACAAGAGGGGTGACGAAACGTGTAAGGGGTGCGTCGACATGGGGGGGGACCCCATGCGGGCGCTGCCACTGGGGCCTTCGGTGGGGCTCCTTGTGGGGTTACAGAACGTGTTCTGGGTGTGTCGAAATTTGCGGGGGTACGCCATGCGGACGCTGCCGCTGGTGCTTTCGGTGGGGCTGATGACTAGACCCCGCGGGGCGCGAAACCTTTTTCTCAATCACGCGCGCCAGGGGGTCGTCGCTGGCGCCGCCGAGGGGATCGGGCAACCCCCTGCATGGCAGCCTCAAAACGATTGCCTTTTGGATAGAAATTGTTACAAGGGTCGTACACATCCGAGGCGAATTGTTGTTCCCCCTCTCAGGCGTCGTCGTCGTTGCCGCCGCCGCCGTCGCCGTCGTCGTCGTCGTCGGCGTCGTCGTCGTCGTCGTCGTCGTCGTCGTTGTCTTCGTCGTCGTCGTCTTCGTCGTCGTCTTCTTCGTCGTCTCTGTCGTCGTCGTCGTCTTCGTCGTCTTCGTCGTAGCCGTCGTCGTCGATTACAGCGGGCCTGCGCAACCCCCCTTCCCCCCATAGGGCATCCGCAGTGCGTCGTCGTCGTCGCCGCCGTCGCCGTCTGCCGTCCGCCGTCCGTCGTCCTCGTCCCTGCCCAGTCCCGTCGTCGTCGTCGTCGTCAACGTAGAGAGCGGCCGTTGGAAACGGGCGCAGGCAGGACGGGGGACGCCGTCGACGACGGCGACAGAGGGGGGGAGGAGGACTACCCGCCTTGCTCGGGTCGGACGACGGGCTGGGGAAGGAAAGGGGGGTATGCAAAACAATCGTCGAGCTGCTTGTAATTCCCCCGTTTGCTGCGCCCCATTTTCATCCAGCCCGCCTTGCCGGCAGGCCCGCATCGGTTCGACAGACACAGGGGCGCCTTGGCTCGCCCTTGCTTCCAAACACACCCCTATTGCCCCTCGTTGGCGGCTGGGCGTCGGCTCTAATCACTGGCGCCGCCCCGTTGATTTTCAATCTGGCGGGCGCCACCCCGCGATTCGCCAAAACAACGACACAATTTTTTCAAACGCGCGCCCCCCACGGATTTGTTGACCACAAGCTGACATCATGCCGAAATGTGGGTGGTGACGCCACGCGGGCTCTGCCACTGGTGCCATCGGTAGTGTTCCCTGTGGGGCTGCTACGGCGTCAGGGGCATGTCTACTATGATAACTGGGGCGACGATGACGACGATGATGCGATGACGACATGTGTGACATGCGGAAGGCTGCTATATACATATATATATATATAGAGGGAGAGAGAGACAGAGAAAAACACACAACAAACAACAACACAACAAAACAAAAGGGAGGTGGCAGTGGGAGGGGGTAGGCGCGGGGAACTGTCTCTTCAAAACGAGGACCCAACGCCGCAGGATGGATGGGACACGTCCGCATTTCTGCTCCCTCCTCCCTGCTCCGTCCGCCCAACCCGCTTTGGGGCATGCCCGCCCGCCCGTGTCAGTGCCCGCCCGCCCTCTTGCTTTGGGGCCCGCCCGCCCGCGTTGGGGCCTTCCCGCTCGCGTGGTCGTCTTCAGGCGGGAGGCTCCCCCGTCAGCACTTCGGCTCGTCATGGAGAGCGGGGAGTCCGGAGGGAAACGGGTCCTGCGGCCTTTCGCCGCTGTTGGCCTTCCGGGGCCCTTCCACGGGCCCCGGGACGGAAAGCTGGCACTGGGGGGAGGCCCCCGGGGGTCCCAGTTATTCGATCGGGACCCGCTCGATTCGTGCCAACCGCCGGGGGCCCGCCCAGCAGCCCCCCCATCACGACGCTTCTGTCCGGCCAGCCCCCCCCCGCGGCCAGGCGCTGCGCCCCCGCGCGGCGAACGCCGCCGCGGCCATCCCCAGCGCCGAGGCCGAGGCCGCGGCTGCGCCCGGCAGTCTTCCATCTTCTGGGCGGACCCGCCCGCCCGCCGCAGGTCCTCCCTCGTGTCCACTGGTGCAAAGCCCCGCCGAGCGGGCATCCAAGTCGGCCCAAGGCTTGGGGCCCAAGGCAGCCCCGAGTAGCCCCCCCCAAAGAGCGTTCCGAATCGTGGCGCGTGCGCCCTGGACTGATGACCCTGGCTCGCCTTCAACGACTTTCGCCCACTGAGCGTTCAGCTGCAAAGTTTGCACTCCCTTCCCTCCTATGTTGAGTCTTCTCCCTTCCTTCGAGCCTCTTCCTGTTATGTCGTTAGTCATTATTCGTCACCGCCGCCACGGTCGTGCGCTGTCGGTCTCACGGCGCTCGGGTTTCGCGCTTCATTGATGACGCGCGCCGTGTCGTCTTTTGATAGTTTGTGTTCGATCAGTCGTTGGTCCCCAGTCCTTCACCATATTGCACGCTGCACCCTACCGAGCGGGTGCGGAGTGTGAGTGTGGCCGTGGCGAGCTTCGGTTTTCGCCCGCCTTGCCCGCCCTTTTTAGATGCCTCCCTTCTCTCCTCCTCGCTTCTCCCTTTCTTCACGCATGCAGTGCGCTCGTTCCTCCTTCGGGCCGCGGTTCATTGCATGAGTTTGCCTATCGCAGGTCGGCTCTTGTAGGTCGTGTTCCCGTTTTGCCTGGAGACCTTTTGATTCGCACATCGGTCGAGGCCGAGCCAGTCAAAGTTTTGCAATCGCGGTCCTTCTCCTTCCTTCCCCCCCCTCGACAAAGAACCTTCGTTGCTCAGTCTACGGCCTCGACGCCGTGCCCTGATGGGCACTGGCGGCCTCCCTAGCGCAGCGCACACGACTACAGCGCTCGTCTGGTCGCGTCTTGCCTTTCTTTCGTGGCTGCGCGCTGCAAAGGAGAGGAACCCACGAAAGAGAGGGAGAGCACGTCGGGTGCCATGACATGCGGAGGGGAGTGGGTAGCAGTGCTCCCTGTTGCCTCGCAGCTCCCGCACTGTAGGAGCAGGGGGCGCGGTTTCATTGCTACGCGATCTAGCGCTTCCACATGTACAAGGCAACATTCGCTACCATTCACGAAACAAGAGAGGCCACGGGGACGTGCGATACCGAATTGGAGTCAAGCCATTGCAGAGTGCCACGACGTTCGCCGAACTGTGGCTCTTGAATGGGGCTCTGTTGGGGCGGAAACGAAGCGCAGGAACGTGCGGACGTTCTCGGAGGTGCAGCTTGTGACCACGACTCGGTACTACCTCCTGGGATGCTCGAGGAAGCCCTGTCCCCCCCTGAGACACCCTAGTCCTGCCCATCCTACCTCATTATAATACCTCATCCTGCCTCCAGCCATTACTACCCTTTCCAGTGTGATTCCTGCCCTTTGCTCAGCTGGCGACGTCTCTCAAGTGCGTATATGCTGTGATCAGGGGAGGGCCTTGACGCTCCCCTCCCCGCCTAGTTGTCGCGTTGCAGGTAGGGACGTGACTGCAACGGGCAGGGCAGAACTAGGGCCACGGGCCGTCATCAATGGGGCGCACCAGCTGCTATAGGCGCAGGGCGCCGGCTCGACCCAATAGCCATCAGCACCTCTAAACGCCAACCCCAGGAGGAGGGTGAGGAGGAGATGCTTCAATGCGGCCCCCCGCCCTAAGCCGCCTCCCCCAAATTCCCTAGAGGCATTACTTCTCACCGCTTGAAGCGCCCCCCTGAAAGGCTATCGCCCCATGAGCCAGCATTTGGGCGACATCCCAACCATAGGACATGCATAGAGATAGTTCACGAAGCTGACAAGCAACCTGTCCCGGGATAGCCTCGTTTTGAAAATGAGCCATTCACTATCCGCACAGTTGTCGCACAGTGATTCGATTATGGTTGTTTTACCCATGAAGGCCTCAAAGGGGATCTCAGTGTTGAAGAATAATTGTCCGCATCTCCTGAGGGCGTTGCACAATTTTGAATTCAATGTCATTTAACTTGAAGGAGTCTCATACGGTAGCCAGATATTGAAAGAAAACAGCCCTGCATCCGCATATTAGCCGGACACGTTTAAGATGAAACTGCGCGGCGTTGGGGTGAGAGCTACATGTCGGAAGTGCCCACTCTCCTTCCGTGTAGGGCAAGTTTCTAGGCGAATGTTCTCGGGTGCGGGCGAAATATTCATGTTGCAGATGGCCCGCCTTCCATCATTAGATGGTGGGGCATTTTTAAGGCGACTGAGCGCGGCCCCAATGCGAAGGCCACGACGTGAAAGCGGGCCGGCTTACGTAGCTGGACACTGCCTGATTCAGTGGTTGGGGAGCCTCCGGCGCAAGGGCCTGCCCGCCCTGCCCACACGCCTTGTTGTGTGACGAGGAGGACTTGTTCAAGATATGAAGAGGCATGGAGGAGACTCTTTAAAGGAGGAGGAGGAGGAGGAGGAGGAGGAGGAGGAGGGCGACGACGACGACCTCCCTCTCCTCCTCCTCCTGCTCCTGCTCCTCCTCCTCCTCCTCCCCCTTCCGCCTCCGAGGCGCCGGGAGCCGTGTACCAGGTTACCTCGCAGGCGGTCGGGCCTAAGGCCCAGCGGGTCGCCATCTTGCTTGGCACCTACCACGAGCACGGCGAGAATCACGGGCGCGTTACCTACCAGAAGCAGGAGCCGATCCCTGGGCACCCAGATCTGAAGGCCTTTGGCAGGGCCTGGGGGACGCGCGCAGACGGCCCCAGAGAGAGTCCGGGCTGGCGCCGGTCTCGAGGGTGCGACGAGGTTGGAGGGTTGGCCCGAGGTGGGGTCAGGAAGCGAACCCAGCCTGGGGCTGAGGCTGCCCTTCTTCAGGGGCCGTCCAGAGCGATTGTCCTCCGACCCAACCTTTCTACGTTTTCCCGGCAACAGGCCGTGTCAACCCCCCAGCCCAGATGGCAGCATCGAGGCTGTCGAGGGCGCCAGGGGTTTACCCTGGGGTATGTCGGGGTTCGCCAGGACTACCTCTTCGGGCCGTCTGAGCGCAGCCCCCCCCCACCTCTTCTTGGCCCCGCTCCTCATCATCCTCCGCCTCCTCCTACTGCCGCCGTTGCTGCTGACTCATCCCCGGAGCGCCTTTTCCGACTTACCTCTTCCTCCTCTTCTTGCTTCTCCTCTTTCGAATTTTTTGGGAACGAACCAATTTGGCGGAACTCGTTTTTGTGTGTGCCCCGTCGGTACTTGAGGAACGTTGCCTGGATTCCCCGCCAGGGTGTTCTTCGGATACCGACCAATGCAGAGAATTGCAATGATTGTCGGAACCATGTCAGCCACTTGCCTGTGGAGCCGCTGCAATCAGTGCAACCATTGCGAGCACAGTGACATTCTTTTGCGTGTCGGCTTCGTATGTGAGGGTTGTGGGGGCATCGCCAAACCATTACAACACAACCCATGCAGCAGCCACATGTGCAGTTTGAGGACGAGCAGTTTCAGGAGTCCAGGCGGCCTCTCTCGTGCACCCGAAGGGGATCCTCCGCTCGGGCAGCGCCTCGCCTGCCCGTGGTGCAGGCGCAGGCAGAGGCGGATATGGGCGTGGCGCATCCCAGGGCGGTCAGCCGCCATGGCGAAAGGAGCACGAAGAGGGGCCCGCCGCTTTTTGCAGCGCGCACTGGCCGCATCGAATAGCGTGTCGTTTCGGGCTGAAGCGCCGCGTTCCGAGGCCAAGGAGGTGGTGTCCAAGATCGAGGCGTTGTTCCGTCGGGCAGACGGGGCCTATTGACTTTTGCGACGCGGGCCGCAAGCACAATCAGCATGTGCGTGATGTGGTTCGCAAGCGACAGTCCTTGACGCCAGGGGGTGTCCAAGGAGAAGGAGACGGCGCAGTTGCTGGCGGCGACTGTGATAGCCCGTGCTACACGGGCGTCTGTTTAGGCAGAGGGTCGGCGCCGCCGCTTAGTTCGCCCAAGAAAGGGCAAGCTAATGCTGAATCTGACAGCTCCTTTGGTATGCCGACTTTTTCGCGAAGCTGGACGACCTGGAGTGCGAGAGTCAGGAGAGGATAGGTTCCAAGGAGATCCACCAGTATCTCCTGGCGACGGCGCAGGAGATGTCAGCTAAGGAGGCCGAGGCCCGCGATTGGGTTAAGAGGATGGAAGCACGCGTCAAGGACAGCGAGACCAGCATGCAGAGAAAGGGGGCACAAGGACGACACTGGCGTGGCAGGTGCTGATCCAGGTGGCGAGAATGCCGCGGCGCCCGCGGCTCCATCAGCGCTGGTGGCGCAGTACCTTGAGGCGGATATGGCGGAGCTATAGACCGAGGCAAAACGGTTGTCGTATATGCCGTTCCAGTCTGCGAACTTGGCGCTGGCGAAGGCTGGCAAGGGCAAGGGTTCGGACTAAGGCTTTGCTGCGGATAGTCAACGTGTTGATGGTGCTATGCCTCCTGTCCAGGCCAGCGCTCGAATATAATCTCAGAAGTGAAGCAGGAGCTGGCACTTCAAGCTGATAACATTGTGATGTATCTTGCGTGCTGAAGACCCGGTCGTGGATGGAGTCCGCGAAGCACGAACAGCCCGTGCTGGTGTAGACTAGCAGAACCGGCGGAAGTGGAGGGTCAAGGCGAGGTGCCGCGTTTGCCAGGCCATCGGTGACTCTACCAGGCAGCGCAGCACGGCAGTCGCAGCTGCGCCGGCGGAGCACCACAGTGAGAGACACTTTCGAGTTCATCAGCTGCTTGACGTGAGCGATTGGTCCTCGACTCAAGTTGCTGCAGCGCAAGTCTTTAGACGCTTTCGCGGCGATGGCAGTTCTTTCCAAGGGCTTATCCTTCGTTATCGCGACGTCCTACTTCTGCCGTAGCAGAGGGTTCTGTGGCGCCAACGTCGGGCGCTTCAAAAGGGGAGTTGGCCTTCCGTTCTTTCGGCGGCAGCCTATGCAAGCAGAGCAGCGCCGAGTCCCCTTCTTAGCCTCATTCGTAATGCTTACGCCATTCCGCCGGCCCTCAGAACAGAGAGCCCGCGACGACCGCGGAACCCATCCTGCTCTCTCGGGCTTGCATACATGGTCGGGCCGAACGAAAGGGGGGGATAGGGAAAGGGGGGTTACGAACTCTGCTGCATGCAGCTGGTTTCGGCCCCGCCGCCGGGCCCATTTTCGATACATGGGCGCTTCCCAGCGCCGGGAGGCGCCAGGAAAATCAGCTACGTGAGCTGATTATAAAACCTCCCTTTGCTATCCCCCCTTTCGCCCGACCCGACGTCGCCTCCCTTGAGGCGCACTCTGGGCCCTCCTCGGCGCCCGCGGGCGGTCTCGGCGCCTGTCTTGGGACGGAGGGCGCACGTTCGCCGGCGGGGCCTTTCGAGGCCTCTGGGCCTCTGGGTGTCTCTCCTGGACTTTGGCATTCTGGGCTTCTGCTGGTGCCTCCTGGGGCTTTCTGGGGCGCCTGCCAGCGACCTCGCAAATCCTCTTGGGGCGGGGGGCTCGAAGTTTGAATTCGACAAGAAGAGAGCGGCAGACTTCGAGTCTGCCGTTTGGCCGCCTGGAATGCCGCCTCGGCCGCGGGCGGCCGCCCCCTCCCGCCGTCGTCGGAGGATTGGCTTGCCGCGCGAGAGTGGTCTGCACTTGCCGGAGGTGTTCTCTGGCGCCGTTCGCCAGCCCAGCCTTTGCTCGCCGGCGGTGCCAGCGGGGGATGCGCTGCGTCCAGCAGGAAGCTCCGCCGCGTTGCTTCGGCAATAGCGTTCTGGAGATTCTCGAGCCCGAAGTCATGCTGCAGGCTGCAGCGTCGGGCCCATGGCAGGGCCTGGGCAGTCGGTCCCACGCGGCGAGTTGACGGCTTTCGCATCATTTTGGCCACAAGCGGCGAGATCATGTCTTCGGGGGATCGCGAAGCAGTTGCCTGAATGTGGTCTGCCAGATGACGCGTGCATCCAATTGGTGAGGTTCGGACCTCGGGGCATCGCTGGGTCAGTTGTTGCAGCGGCGAGCAGCGCCTCTCATCGCAGTCGTTTTCGCCCATCCCGCGCAGAACGTTGGCGCTGTCTCCTCGCTGGGCGAGCACCAGGATTCGTGTTGTGGAAGCAGAGGCATGCGAGACAGCGATGGAAGGGTCGCGCCAGACAGTGCTAATCCACGAGCGGAGAGTGTCGCTCATTGTCTCCGGGTCTTGGGAGCGACGTTGGAGGCCATGTCGTTGGATGCCTTGGTCCCTGACGAGCGAGATCCATAGTCCAAGCCTGGCCATCGTCCTCAATATGCTGCTGTTCTCCTCTTCTGTGTTTCCTCCCACTGTCTTGATGATAGTGTGAGGCATTACACACGCTGCGGGGGCTTAGCCTCGAAAGCATGCGTCACGGAATTGTGGCAGTCAGAGCGTTTGCTCGCAAGTAGGTATGTTGCAGCTATCTGGTTTATGAAGATTCTTAGGCAGGTACATGTTACCAGAGGCTGATTGGACCCTTCTTGCACCATGCAGTATCATGGTAAGTTGGGGCTCTGGTATTGGACACGTTGTTGTTGTAATGATAGGTTCCAGCTTGGAAGTCTCGTGTGTGTGTGTGCACCCGTCAGGTTACCCTGACTCGGGCAAGATACCTTGACAGGGCCTGAAGGGCTCCCTGGCCTGAGGTGAAAGAGCCGCCGAGAAACGCTTCCGTTGCCGACATCAGTGCTCGGTCACTTTGTGCAGGTTGTTGTTGATTCTGTCATGTGGTCACACTCATCCCCGTCCTCGGTTCCGAGGATCGAGATTATTCCCCACATGCTTCGTGGGGTTCTGGTTTTCTTCCCTTCCGCGTCTTACCCGCGTCTCCTCCCCCTTCTCCTCCCTCTCCTTCTCTTCCCTGCCGCGCCGCACCCGCGCTCATTCACCTCAATCAGCTCAGCTCAGCACAGCACGGCACAGCACAGCTCGGCCACATGCTTCGTGGGGTTCTGGTTTTCTTCACCACATGTTTCGTGGGGTTCTGGTTTTCTTCCCCACATGCTTCGTGGGGTTATGGTTTTCTTCCCTGCCGCGCCGCACCCGCGACACACACCTCACTCTTCGTACAGCACAGCTCATCACAGCACATCACAGCACAGCACAGCACAGCACAGCTCAGCTCAGCACAGCACACAGCTCAGCTCAGCTCAGCACACAGCACAGCTCAGCACAGCCCAGCACGGCTCAGCTCAGCACAGCACAGCACAGCTCGTGGCACTGGCGCAAAGCCTAGCAAGCGTGGCACTTTCTCGACACCACAGGGGGTGCGCAGGGGGTGGTCTCTCAGCTCGGTCGCTATCCACGAGCGGCACCACAGGGGGTGCGCAGGGGGTGGTCCCTGAGCGCGGCCGCTATCCGTGCCAGTCGTCCAGGCATAGCAGGCGTGGTACTTTCTCGACACCACAGGGGGTGCGCAGGGGGTGGTCCCTGAGCGCGGCCGCTATCCGTGCCAGTCGTCCAGGCATAGCAGGCGTGGCACTTTCTCGACACCATAGGGGGTGCGCAGGGGGTGGTCCCTGAGCGCGGCCGCTATCCGTGCCAGTCGTCCAGGCATAGCAGGCGTGGCACTTTCTCGACACCATAGGGGGTGCGCAGGGGGTGGTCCCTGAGCGCGGCCGCTATCCGTGCCAGTCGTCCAGGCATAGCAGGCGTGGCACTTTCTCGACACCACAGGGGGTGCGCAGGGGGTGGTCCCTGAGCGCGGCCGCTATCCGTGCCAGTCGTCGCATAGCAGGCGCTAGCGCGTGCCGCTATCCGTCGTCCAGGCATAGCAGGCGTGGCACTTTCTCGACACCATAGGGGGTGCGCAGGGGGTGGTCCCTGAGCGCGGCCGCTATCCGTGCCAGTCGTCCAGGCATAGCAGGCGTGGCACTTTCTCGACACCATAGGGGGTGCGCAGGGGGTGGTCCCTGAGCGCGGCCGCTATCCGTGCCATCGTCCAGGTCCAGGCATAGCAGGCGTGGCACTTTCTCGACACCATAGGGGGTGCGCAGGGGGTGGTCCCTGAGCGCGGCCGCTATCCGTGCCAGTCGTCCAGGCATAGCAGGCGTGGCACTTTCTCGACACCATAGGGGGTGCGCAGGGGGTGGTCCCTGAGCGCGGCCGCTATCCGTGCCAGTCGTCCAGGGCGTGGCACTTTCTCGACACCAGGGGGTGCGCAACCTGAGCGCGGCCGCTATCCGTCCGTGCCAGCCGTCCAGGCATAGCAGGCGGCACTTCTCGACACCATAGGGGGTGCGCAGGGGGTGGTCCCTGAGCGCGGCCGCTATCCGTGCCAGTCGTCCAGGCATAGCAGGCGTGGCACTTTCTCGACACCATAGGGGTGCGCAGGGGGTGGTCCCTGAGCGCGGCCGCTATCCGTGACGGTCGTCCAGGGCATAGCAGGCGTGGCACTTTCTCGACACCATAGGGGGTGCGCAGGGGTGGTCCCTGAGCGCGGCCGCTATGCGCGACGGTCGTCCAGGCATAGCAGGCGTGGCACTTTCTCGACACCATAGGGGGTGCGCAGGGGGTGGTCTATCCGTGCCAGTCGTCCAGGCATAGCAGGCGTGGCACTTTCTCGACACCACAGGGGTGCGCAGGGGGTGGTCCCTGACAGGGGGTGGTCCCTGAGCGCGGCCGCTATCCGTGCCAGTCGTCCAGGCATAGCAGGCGTGGCACTTTCTCGACACCATAGGGGGTGCGCAGGGGGTGGTCCCTGAGCGCGGCCGCTATCCGTGCCAGTCGTCCAGGCATAGCAGGCGTGGCACTTTCTCGACACCATAGGGGGTGCGCAGGGGGTGGTCCCGAGCGCGGCCGCTATCCGTGCCAGTCGTCCAGGCATAGCAGGCGTGGCACTTCTCGACACCATAGGGGGTGCGCAGGGGGTGGTCCCTGAGCGCGGCCGCTATCCGTGCCAGTCGTCCAGGCATAGCAGGCGTGGCACTTTCTCGACACCATAGGGGGTGCGCAGGGGGTGGTCCCTGAGCGCGGCCGCTATCCGTGCCAGTCGTCCAGGCATAACAGGTGTGGCACTTTCTCGGCACCATAGGGGGTGCGCAGGGGGTGGTCCCTGAGCGCGGCCGCTATCCGCGCCAGTCGCCCAGGCATAGCAGGCGTTGCATTTTCCCGACGCCATAGGGGGTGCGCAGGGGGTGGTCCCTGAGCGCGGCCGCTATCCGTGCCAGTCGTCCAGGCATAGCAAGCGTGGCACTTTCTCGACACCATAGGGGGTGCGCAGGGGGTGGTCCCTGAGCGCGGCCGCTATCCGTGCCGTCGTCCAGGGCATAGCAGGCGTGGCACTTCTCGACACCACAGGGGGTGCGCAGGGGGTGGTCTCTCAGCGCGGCCGCTATAGCAGTCGCCAGGCATAACAGCGTGGCACTTTCTCGACACCACAGGGGGTGCGCAGGGGGTGGTCTCTCAGCGCGGCCGCTATCCGCACCAGTCGTCCAGGCTAGCAGGCGTGGCACTTTCTCGACACCACAGGGGGTGCGCAGGGGTGGTCCTCAGCGCGGCCGCTATCCGTGCCAGTCGTCCGGCATAGCAGGCGTGGTACTTTCTCGACGCCACCGCAGGGGGTGCGCAGGGGGTGGTCCCTGAGCGCGGCCGCTGTCCGTGCCAGTCGTCCAGGCATAGCAGGCGTGGCACTTTCTCGACACCATAGGGGGTGCGCAGGGGGTGGTCCCTGAGCGCGGCCGCTATCCGTGCCAGTCGTCCAGGCATAGCAGGCGTGGCACTTTCTCGACACCATAGGGGGTGCGCAGGGGGTGGTCCCTGAGCGCGGCCGCTATCCGTGCAGTCGTCCAGGCATAGCAGGCGTGGCACTTTCTCGACACCATAGGGGGTGCGCAGGGGGTGGTCCCTGAGCGCGGCCGCTATCCGTGCCAGTCGTCCAGGCATAGCAGGCGTGGCACTTTCTAGACACCATAGGGGGTGCGCAGGGGGTGGTCCCTGAGCGCGGCCGCTATCCGTGCCAGTCGTCCAGGCATAGCAGGCGTGGCACTTTCTCGACACCGTAGGGGGTGCGCAGGGGGTGGTCCCTGAGCGCGGCCGCTATCCGTGCCAGTCGTCCAGGCATAGCAGGCGTGGCACCTTCTCGACACAATAGGGGGTGCGCAGGGGGTGGCTCCCAAACGCTGCCCCTATCCGTGCCAGTCGTCCAGGCATAGCAGGCGTGGCACTTTCTCGACACCATAGGGGGTGCACAGGGGGGTGGTCCCTGAGCGCGGCCGCTATCCGTGCCAGTCGTCCAGGCATAGCAGGCGTGGCACTTTCTTACGCAGACTACCACAGGCATAGGGGGGGTTGCCAGGGGTGGTCCCTGAGCGCGGCCGCTATCCGTGCCAGTCGTCCAGGCATAGCAGGCGTGGCACTTTCTCGACACCATAGGGGGTGCGCAGGGGGTGGTCCCTGAGCGCGGCCGCTATCCGTGCCAGTCGCCCAGGCATAGCAGGCGTGGCACTTTCTCGACACCATAGGGGGTGCGCAGGGGGTGGTCCCTGAGCGCGGCCGCTATCCGTGCCAGTCGTCCAGGCATAGCAGGCGTGGCACTTTCTCGACACCATAGGGGGTGCGCAGGGGTGGCCCCGAGCGCGGCCCCTATCCGTGCAGTCGGGCATAGCAGGCGTGGCACTTTCTCGGGGGTGCGCAGGGGGTCCCGAGCGCGGCCCCTATCCGTGCCAGTCGTCCAGGCATAGCAGGCGTGGCACTTCCTCGACACAATAGGGGGTGCGCAGGGGGTGCCCCCCGAGCGCGGCCGCTATCCGTGCCAGGCGTCCAGGCATAGCAGGCGTGGCACTTTCTCGACACCATAGGGGGTGCGCAGGGGGTGGTCCCTGAGCGCGGCCGCTATCCGTGCCAGTCGTCCAGGCATAGCAGGCGTGGCACTTTCTAGACACCATAGGGGGTGCGCAGGGGGTGGTCCCTGAGCGCGGCCGCTGGCTGGCTCGAATCTGTCCTTGATGGAGGATAGAAGGCTAGGAAGAGGGAGGAGGTTCAAGCAATACGGCGTTGGATGACACAGAGGGGAACATTCGCGACGAGGGCTGAGAACGCAGAATTGCGCATATATTATAAACTTAAGCAAGCACATAATATTTAAATTGAGTATGTGGGGTTCCTCGGTAGCGTAATTGTGCTTCTTGTTGAGCGGTCCGAAGGTCTTCATTTACTTCTGGGACACCCGCGATGGGCTCGAGCTCTCCGGCTGGTGGTTCGGGGACTCCGTGGGCGGAACGCTGGTGCCCACGCGCGGCCCGCGTGCCCAGATCACGACCGTCGTCGTCGTCGTCGTCGGAGAGGGAAGAACGACCGTCGTCGTCGTCGTCGGAGAGGGAAGGGCAGCAACACACATCATCAACAACAACAAAAACAAGAAAAGAGGGAAAGGTGAGGGAGAGTGAGAGAGAGAGAGAGAGAGACCGAGAGAACAATAACACGGCAACAAAGAAGAACGAGGGACAGAAAACGAGACCGGGATATATTTAGAGAGAGAGAGAGAGAGAAACAAACAAACAAACATATAGTGATAGCGAAGGGGGAGAGGGAGAGGGAGAGGGATGGAGGAAGGAAGGGAGGGAGAGAAAGAGAGGGAGAGAACGGAGGAAAGCGAGAAAGAGAGAGAGAGACAGTTAGATGGTGAGGAGGAGGGAGAAGCATGGAAGGGCGGGAGAGAGAGGCACAGGCAGAAGTGGATGAAGAGGGGCGAAGGAGGGCGAGATGGGGAGAGGGGGAAGAGAGGCGGGAGCGAGGAGGCGGGTGAGGAGGAGAGGGAGGCGCCAAGGGATCCACCAGGGCCTGGGGAGCTGGCCCGCAAGTGCCTGCCACCCTCCACCACGCGGCCTTCCCGGATCCGAGCCGCTGCGGCCATGCGGGTGGGCGGTGCGCGTGCGCCTTCCCCGGGGGGGGGGCGCTGTGGGGTGTCGGTTGCTCGCTTTCGGGCGGGCCTGTGCTGGTCGCTCTCGCCCTGTCCCGCCCTTTCCTCCCCGCCTGGGCCCCCTCTGCCCGCGAGCTCGTCGCCGCCGGATCGTTCCTCCCAGAGGCTTGGCACCGCTCGGGCGTGTGCTTTTTTTTGCGGCGAGGATCATCGACGGGCATCGTGGGCCATCTTGCGACAAGCACGCGCACGAACCGACACAGGCAGGGGGGGTGGACGTCCGAGCGATGGCGAGGAGGCCGCAGCCTGCCAGCCCCAGTGCGCGCCCTCGGCCCATCGGTTGTGAGGCGGGAGGCGCGGCGGCCCGCCGCGGAGACCCGGAGCGGAGCGGAGCGCCGGGGCGCGGCAGGGTGCGAAGGGTCCTCGGGGGCGACGGGGGGCGCGAGTAGCCCAGGTGAGAGCAACACACGTACAGTGGGGGCCCATGCCAAGGAACACCCTGCTGGCTTCCAGGGTGTCCTGGGTTTCTTGGGTTTCGGTGGTTTTGCCATGGAGAGCGTGACGTTCCCACACCAAACATCGGTAGGCGTCCTGGGGTTTCAGGGTTGGGTTTCTTGTGGAAGGTTTCTTGTGGAAGGTTTCTTGTGGAAGGGCCCCTACTGTACATATATCCACGGGCTAGTTGATGGTCCATGCCTTCGGCGAGGCTCCCCCCAGGCGAATCGGAGGTTGGGGGGTGAGTCCGACGTGAAACGGAGACCCTCCCTACCGGGAAATCGATTTCGGTTTCTGGTTCGTGTCGTTTATGCCGTGCGTGCGTGCGGGCGAGGCGAAGTTGCGTGGGCGGGCGAGAGGAAATCCTCCTGTGGCTGGGCCGCGGCTGGACCAAATCTAACTCCTCCGGCGGCCGGTGCCGCGCGGTGTCCCGCCGGTGTCCCGCAGGTGTCCCGAAATCCTCCTGTGGATGGGCCGCGGCCGGACCAAATGTTTCTCCTCCTGCGGCAGTTGCCGCGCGGTGTCCCGCCGGTGTCCCGCTGTGTCTCGTGGTGTCCCGTGGTGTCCCGTTGAGTGAGATCGATACTGAGATCGATACTGAGATCGATACTGAGATCGATGTGGTGCCCCGTGGTGTCCCAAAAAAGTGAGATCGATAGTGAGATCGACAGGTGTCCCGTGGTGTCCCGTGGTGCCCCGTTGAGTGAGATCGATAGTGAGATCGATAGTGAGATCGATGCTGAGATCGGTGTGGTGCCCGAGGTGTCCCGTGGTGTCCCAATTAGTGAGATCGATAGTGAGATCGATACTGAGATCGACAGGTGTCCCGTGGTGTCCAGTGGTGCCACTTTGAGTGAGATCGATAGGGAGATCGATAGTGAGACCGATAGTGAGATCGAGAGATGTTCCGCGGTGTCCCGTGGTGTCCCATGGTGGCCCGTGGTGTCCCGTGATGTCCCGTTGCGTGAGATCGATAGTGAGATCGACAAGTGTCCCGTGGTGTCCCGTGGTGTCACGTGGTGTCACGTGGTGTTCTGCTGAGTGAGATCGATAGTGAGATCGATTGAGTCAGATGTTGGTTCCCCCCTCTCCCCCCCACAACCTCCTTATCACCCGAAGGGTGGTCGTATAGGTAGGTGTTATGCCCGCCCCTGGGCTGTTCGCCCCTATCGTCGCCGCCGAGGTCCGCACGTGAGTCCGCTGTGCCGTGGCGCTCCTCCAGATGCCGCCGGAGGGCCAAGGAGGGCTCTTGGCAGCGACACTCCTCGCTTCGATCAAAGGCTTGGGCGGGTGGCCGGAGGGGGGGGCTCGAGGGTGAGGGGGTCGTCATGCACGTGGCACCTCCTCCCCTCGCACCCGCCTCCCTCGCGCACTCAATTCTCACCCCAGCTTAGTCGTACTCAGGTCTGCTCGTTTTCAGTTTGGTCACATTCAGACATGCACGCACTCAGCCGCTCACACTGTCGACCATTCACACTCAGCCGCTAGTTACTTCCGACCGTTCACACTCAGACTCCCTCTGTTCTGACTCACTCATTGTCAGATCCACTTAAACTCGGACTCACTCGCGCACACAGATCACTCATATCCAGATACACTCAACGCAACTTAGGCATAACTTATCCAACCCATCCACACACAGACTCACTCATACACAGACAGACCCACTCAAACTCAGACTCATTCGCACTCAGTCTCACATACTCAGTTCACTCATGCCCAGGCGCACCCATACTCGGACGCTTCATGGCCACCACGACGTAGCAGGCATGGCATCAGGAGGGGGAGCCGACCAGAGGTGTTACACAGGCCCGTTCGGGCCCATTCTGTGATGGTGACTCGAGCGAGACGCCCGCCTGCGGCCTTGGACGCGTCTCTCTTTCGAGACTGATGAGCATCGTGATGTAGCAGGCGTAGCACTTGGGCCACCCAAGAGGGTGCCCACCAGGGATGCTCCACGGCTCCCTTTGCGTCCAGATTGCGGAACGCCCGTCTGCGCCTTGGGCGCGTCTCTCTTCAGAGCCTATCATCGTCGCGATGCAGCAGGCATAGCGCTTAGGCCACACGAGAGGGCGCACACAAGGGATGTTGCACGGGCCCGTCCGCGTCCAGATTTCGGCTCTTTTTACGGCCCTGGATGCATCTCCACTCAGAGCCTTATGATCATCGTGGTTTTGAAGGCATAGCAGTCGGGACGCCCAATGGGGCGCCGGCCAGGGGTACTGCACGGGCCCTTTCGCGTCCTGACAGTGGGGGTGTTTCAAGCGATACGCCCGTCCACTGCCCTGGGCGCATCTCTCTTCAGAGCCTTGTGGTCATCGTGGTGTAGCAGGCGCAGCACTTGGGCCACCCGCGAGGGAGCCGACTAGGGTTCTTGCACGGGCCCGCATGCGTCCATATTGCAGGGGTGTGTCGAGCGAAACGCCCGTCTGTGGCTGTGAACGCGTCTCTCTTCAGAGCCCTGCGAGCACCGTGATGTAGCGGGCGTAGCAGTTGGGCCACCCACACGGGCCCGTATTCGTCCAGAGTGTGGGAGGAGGAGGAGGAGGAGGAGGAGGAGGAGGAGGAGGAGGAGGAGGAGGAGGAGGAGTGTCTCGAACGAAACGCCCGTCTGTGGCTGTGGACGCGTGTCGTTCCCGAGCCCATATGATCACCGTGATGTAGCAGTCGCAGCACTTGGGCCATGCAATGGGGGAGCCGCGGAGCCGACCCAGAGTGTTACCCGGGCTTGTTCGCGCCCCGATGTTGAGATGCTTCCGGCGGAACGCCCCGTTGACAGTCGGGTCGGGCAAAAGGGGGGGATTGGGAAAGGGGGGGTTACGAAATTTGCTGCATGCAGCTGGTTTCGGCCTCACCGAGGGGCCAATTCCTCGATACATAGCCGCCTCCGGCGCCGGGAGGCGCCGGGAAAATCAGCTACGGGAGCTGATTCTCAAACCCCCCCTTTGCTATCCCCTCCTTTCGCCCGACCCGAGACAGCCATCGATCAACGGCACCGTAACGGGTACTTCCTAACGGGTACTTTGCACTTTTGCCGAACGTTGCCACTCTAGGGCCTCTTTCTGGCAATGCAGCGTTGCCCGCATCGGGAAGGGTCGGGTTCGCTGGGTCACTGGCCAAAGTACCCGTTAGTGGAGTCCCCGTTTGTGGGGCGTTGAATCGAGCAGAGACTGGCAGGGAACAGCAGAAACAGTACACAGCAACACAGAGCAGCAGAGCGTGGCGGCAGAGGCCACCGGTGGCATAGAGCGGGGATTTGCAGCGGGCAGCAGAAATTGCACGGTGCGGCAGATCGTTCAAGCGGAGCGCAGCTGAGACCAGCAGAGAACAGCAAAGACTAGCAGAGAGCTGGCATCGAGCAGGAATTAGCAGGGAGCAGCAGACACAGCACAGAGCAGCGGAGAGCAGCACAGAGGACCAGCAGAGAGCAGCAGGGCAGACACCAGCAGGCAGCAGCAGAGAGCAGGAGACACCAGCACAGCAGACAGCAGCATACAGAAAACAGTAGAGCAGCAATTGGTGACAGAGAGGAGCAGGGAGGATCGCTCACGCTCGGATTTTCGCGTGCGCAGCCTAGGGCTTCGAGACTCACCCATATCCAGACACTCGCAGAAGGGAGCGCCAGAACATCAGATGCTCATATGAGCGACGCAACAAAAAACGGATCGTCTTCGCCGACATTCTCGCGTCAGCTCCCCGCTCAAGGTCGCGCGTGAGCGCCCTCGTCTCAAATGCAGAGTGCCGCGCCTGCGGCCCGCGTAAGCCACCGCGTAAGCTCTTACGTCATCTCGCGTAAGATCAGTTTTTGTTCGTCGCCCATGCGACCCATGTGCGGATCTCCGCGTCGAATGCGTGTTCCTCCGAAGAGGCCACCCCTTCTCATCGCCCCCCTGCGCGCGCCGCGGCCCTACTCCTCCCTCGGAAGTGCACCCCGCGCCGCTGTGCACCCTTGGCGCGGCCGACCGGTTTCGAGTCCGACTCCGTGTTTCACGCGACCCGATCCCAGGCAAATTCCGATTCGATCCTGCAGAATCGATGTACCCCAGAATTGATGTACCCCAGAATCGATGTACCCCAGAATTGATATTCCCCAGAATTGATGTTCGTAGATCTACGGATCATTCTACGCAAGCTCGTAGTTTCGACGAACAAATCAATGTTGGAGAAATCCATGTTGTAGTCGATCCCCCTCTCGACTCCTCTCTGCTCGCGCCGCGTCCCACTCCCCAGGTCTCGGAGGTGTGGGCGCGTGCCCCCGATCCAGAGACAATCGAGCCATCACTGATGCTGAGGTGCTTTTTGTGCGTCAAGCGCAGCTGTTTTTCGCCCTCCAGGAGCTCTTCAGCTCAAAGTGGCCCTACGTAGAAGCATCGGGTAAAGGTCACTCACACGTGCTGTTTCGAAACGACAATCCAGGCCCTACGCTTCCTGCCGCTGCCTGTTTTGCCAGGTGCGCCGCGTTCCCCCCCGCCCCCCCGCCCCTCGGAGGTGTGGGCACGAGCGCCCCTGCTCGCGCAGAACGTGCCTCCCGCGGGCTGGAAGGTGCCGTGGGACGCGCCGATGCCCGAGCCGGGCATGCTGTCGGTGACGAGGGTGGCGGCCGAGCAGGTCCCGGGGGCTGCCAGAGGTGGCCCCGCCCCCAACGCCTGGCGGCGCGCCCGAGGGTGGCGCGAGCGGGGGTATGCTTGTCTCAAAGATTAAGCCATGCATGTCTCAGTATAAGCTTCTATACGGCGAAACTGCGAATGGCTCATTAAAACAGTTATAGTTTATTTGATGGTCATTCCGAAAAAAGACGGGGTCCTGGCAAAGGCCTGGTGGCTTCTCAGGTGGGCTTCCGTCTAAGAAGCCGGCGACAAGGGCCCCTAAGGGCCCTGCGAGGGCTCCTTTTTTGAGCCCCTGCTGGCTCCAAAAGGTGCCCCAAGTGGCCTCTTCGGCCCTTCTCTTCACCCCACACTTGGATCACCCCCCATTACCCCCCACCGTCTACCTGAAAAGAAGCCCTCGCCCTGCCTTCCAAGAGGGCCTAAGGCCGCACCTCTCGCGCCGCCCTCCGGGGCGCGGCGCCAGGAGGTGGCGTCAGCTCTTCAGGAATCCCCGGGTGGCTTTCAGAGCGCCCCTCGCGAGGTCCATCACGAGTGGAGCACACGTCCATGTCCATGAACTCGCGATCTGAACACTTGGGCGCGACCTCATGGGTTTCAGAGCGCCCCTCGCGAGGTCCATCACGAGTGGAGCACACGTCCATGTCCATGAACTCGCGATCTGAACACTTGGGCGCGACCTCATGGGTACGCGATCCCACGGATACGTGCCGCGCTGGACATCCGCGCGGAACCGCCCTGTATCCACGGGGTCGCGGCCGAGGCGTTCGGATCGCCAGGCCATGGATACGGAACCGTTTCCCGCCCGCTCACCCCGGGGGCCTGAGGAGTTCCAGAGCGGCGTGAAGAGCTGAGGGCACCTCGGGCCCGCTTCACCTCCGGCCACCTCCGAGCAGGGGGGCGTGGCCGCGGTCGCCGCCGCCAGCAGGGCGACCGCACCCAAGGCGCGGCCGTTGACCGCGTCGGCGAGGGCGGGGGCCGCGCCGCCCAACGTCGTGGGGAGTCTGCTGGCAGCCGCGATGACGCAGGCGGCCGCGGGCAAAACGCCC